GTGTACAATTAAACTATCATTGAGAACGATTTGAGTTACATTTCTATAAATCTAGCTACACATAGACACATGTCTTAGCTATAATCTCTGTAATTTTTGAGTTTATTGAAGCACGATTAGTCTAATTAATTACTACGGACCATTGTACAGCGTATCCATACAGCGCTGTACTTAAGCGGCAGCGGTGTTGATACATTTGGAAACAACATGGAGTCAAATCCTGAGTTGGCGCTACTCTCTGTATATAGGGACTCTAGTTGTCTGCACAGCGTAACGCCACATGTATAGAAACTATCATGTGTTCGGGGCAAAGTGGAACAGCTAGGGTTCCACTTTGCCCCGGCCATATTTGATAGGTTTAGATGTATTTCATTATTATCAGATTATTTATTATGATCTTAATTAGTACTCCCAGTAGCAGGTAGGACTATGCATGTTTTTGCATCATTTTAACACCTAACTCGGTAACATTGGCCTAATTGTGTCTTCCCTAGACTTACATATTGTATAAGCGTTCTATAATGGCATTTTTCTTTCATATTTTAGGCAAAATGGTACGCAACTATGAATTTGATGTTCAGAGTTGGACACTGAAAGAGGACGAAACATTTTTGACACAATATACATGGAGTAAAATGACATTCCACCTTGCTCCATAACAGATTTCACTTTGCCCCGGGAGTCTGGAGCAAACTGAAATATTTATAACTTTTATAATTTTGTATATTCCAATAAAGTCGTTTTTTAGATTAACTTTGTTTGTACCGCCTGTTAGTGCTTGTCCTAAGCCAAAAGATTCGAGCCAAACATTTCACTTTGTCTCGCTCTTTCCCAGCGTTTTGGCCAACCAAATTTCTTCGGTCCACTTTTCCCCGGGTTCCCCTATAGACACGCAGTAAAGCACCCTGGGTGCTAAACTCCATATCTTTTTATATTCTTGTGGTATACGTACTGCCTCCACGTAGACAACAGTCGGCCGTCATCCAATTTATGTTACATATTTCGCTTCTAGTGAAGTTGGATTGTTTAGGGTTTTAATAAGTTTACATAACCATTACCATTGTGGTATCCAGCGCCGAGTTACAGGTGCACAATTACTGCATATGTGTAAACACTAAACGACACAGTGCAGAAACGTAGGCCTGTTTCTAAATTTGCCCAGAAGAGCGATACAAACCTCGAGTGCTGGTTTGTTCAGCTATATTTATTAGTGGTAATACATTCAGTTATTCAGTATGTCTTTGTATTTTACGAATATTCGTAATTCGAAGAATAGGCCTACTAGCCATAATCGTAAATTTTAATTCCAGTGAGAATGCAACTGCATCACCATATATTTATGATAGAGAAAACAGATTCTACAAATCAAGAAATACGCCATGATTTTACGTGAACGCTAGGAAAGAATTTATACAAATTTGTTACATTGTGTTCACCCGTTAAACGGGTTATCGTTTTCCCCACACAAATATCCTAGTGTCTCTCCATATTTTTATAATTCTTCAAATCAGCTGAACTAGCGCCATCTGTTGGTCAACATGACCTTAAATACTACATTTAACTCGTAACTTTTAATCGTGAAAACGGCTGTCCCCATTGATTTGCCACCTACATGTACAACGCAACAAATGGAAGATACATAAACATACAAATCAGATTGGTACATATAAACAGTTCAATTTAGATCGAATGAAGTACAAACGAACACCTTTCAGTATAACAACAGTTAGCAATGAAATGCTCTCACATGAAGGTGTCAATTTATATTCTTGTACGACAACCTAAAATGCATCATTTTACTATGAAATTCTTGGAAAATCCTCAAGATTTTTGTCAAGAGTCAATGAAAAAGCAAGAGAGAGAGAGAGAGAGAGAGAGAGAGAGAGAGAGAAAGAGAAATTGAAAATGCAGTTTTTTTAAAGAAATAAACAGACAATTTCACTGGCTAAACCTAATCTACCATACATAGATGGCTTAACCACAGGTTATTGAATACTCGATTTCATAAACACTACAGTAAGCAAATTGATTAACAGAAAAATATAGACGACTTCTACTATTAAACCATTCCAAAGTTATGACCAGTTAGTCATAATGTCACAATGAAATTTCACATAATTTTCAAAAAAACATTAAATCAAAGCTTACTTCGCAATGCAAGAACAACTAAACTACATAAAAAGTGAACTGGTAAACAAGTAATTTCGTCACACATAACTTACGTGCGATTAAAGCACACCATACACACGGATTGTAGGTAAATATTTGCATGCACAAATATTCGAATACAGCACCACGTACATGATAATGATGACATCAGATCTCCCAATGTCACCAATCTGTACATAGTAACATCAGGAGTCTATCAATAGACTCCTGTCTGATAACATGCAGAAGTGCTTCTAACACATACGTATTCTTTGTAACTGCCTTTTCAGGAAATATATTGTAGGTGCTTGCAAGGAATCATAATGCTTCCTTACCATCATACTTGCTGATTCTAAATGTCTTTAACATGTACAATGATGTGGCTAAACAAACCAGACATACTTTTGGCATGATTTAAGCCATGTATTGGGAACAATACATTACAGGCACACCATTCCTCCAGCAGTTTCATCTAGCTTATAAGGTCCACTTTCTAGGATGGCGAGATTTAGGCAGAATACAATCATTACATCCCACATCCTGCAATCAACAATTAATTAAGAAACCCTTGCAAGAATGTTTTCACTTTTATTGCCTCTTGAACACAATTGACACTTGCCTAATTTTGAGGACTTGCCAGATACAACCAGACTATGTTCCAGGAATGTCCATAACCATGGAGTACTTTTTCTGACTTTCCAAACCTAGGAAATGGTATTTTAATATTCCAAAACGTTCCGTGTTTCCCAATACACCTGTACTAAAGGAAACTTTGTGACGGATGAAGAATACTTTGTAGGGATGGTGTCGAATATCAAAAAGATTTCAGTTGCGATGATAAACAATTATTATGTTGAAACAGCCAAATTCACAGCCAGCCAGTCAATTACACAACCTATGAAGACACTGTACACACGAATTTTGATCCATCCCAACTGGATGGCCATGATTCATTTTTTTTAAATCTAAGCTAATTTTGTTTATACAGACAAGCAACAGCAAATTCCACACTAAATCTAACATAGGTTGTTCAAAAACCCATGTGATTCACCAGTAAATGCTGAATTTCAGATGTGACTGCCATTATATTTACAAAAGCGAAGACTTTCTTTAAGACTGGTCACATATTTTATACAACCGGTATTACTAGTCATAATCAAATGCGAAATACACGATCACATCGTTTCATTTGGCAATTTCATTTACTGAGACTCGCTATGTAGATTTGAGCAGCAATCGATATTAATGTGATTCCAGAAGCAAACTATGGTATTTGAACCATGTACAAACTACGAGGCTACGTAAGACGTATCGGCTTGCAACCTAGATGGCGACACATACAGATATGTGGAAGCCAGCCTAAAAGCTTTGTAGTCTAAATTTATAATACTGGCTTACAGACCAACACCACATTACGACTCTCATAAGTTAGGGTACAACAGATGATACTATATAACTAAAAAATGCATGTACCACAGGAATCAATAAATCCTAAGATTGGCAGGATATTTGAAGACTTCCTTCCTGTATACCAGCCAATGGTGTGGTTCAATGCTAGATAGATATCAAGACCGCTATTTACAAGTCCCTACAGTGCATTCTCTTTGGATAGAGAAACGTCACGGGTAGATGGCCGCTACTGTCATAGGTCTGTCCTAGGTCTTCGAAACAGCAGTATGTGAGGCTCTGAAAATCATAGAGTGAAATTAGCTTGTGTATCTGGTTTCACATATCGCAGAAACAGGCTGAAAATGTTATTTATTCTTAAATTTTGTTCACAATCAACATTAAAAGTTACATACCTGGTTCATGGAACATGTAGTGTATCCAACCTTGACTTTGCTGTACCCCAATGCCTCGCCACTCCGTCTCTGACATTAAGTGAGTTTTTGGAACTAATTTGGCTATTTCTTTTGGTAGCATGACATGCCTGAATCAAACATCAAACAAATCGGTCAATAATGCAAAATAATCAGTGGCCATTTTAATATGTGACTTCATAATCTCTATCTCTCTCTGTAAGTAGCCTCAACACACGTGGCACAGTTAAAAAACTGTTTGAAGAGCAGTACCAGTGGCAGTAGCAATCACTGGCAGCAAGAACAAGTCGGCACCTGCAGCTACAGCACACACACGACCATTGACTATATATATACAACATGGTGCCTAACTCGCCGCCGCACAGACCACAAGTCCACAACTCACCGTTTTCAATCAGTTACAACTCCGGTGTTCCTGCAGGTGACGCCACTTTCCAACTATCGTTGGAATTGCGAAAGACTGTTGAACAAGCTACACTCGCCATTTTTGACAATCGGCCCGCCAGAATGCGCTCAAATCACAGAAATTCCTCAAATATCCATGCGAAACCATCCTTCGAATGCTACCAGGCAAAAGGGCGGCATGCCCAACCGCTGGCGGCTGCGCTGATTGGCCATGACTCACCCGCGATGTCAACAAACGTAGTTGCGCAGCCTGTCTGCACGTTAAACTTGCTGCAGCCATTCAGCGCAGCTGCCAGCGGTTGGGCATGCTGCCCTTTTGCCTCGTAGCATTCAAAGGATGGTTTCGCATGGATATTTGAGGAATTTCTGTGATTTGAGCGCATTCTGGCGGGCCGATTGTCAAAAATGGCAGGTGTAGCTTGTTCAGCAGTCTTCCGCGATTCCAACAATAGTTGGAAAGTGGCGTCACCTGCAGGAACACCAGAGTTGTAACTGATTGAAAACGGTGAGTTGTGGTCCGTGCGGCGGCGAGTTAGGCACCAAGCAGCCATCGACACTAACGGTTGTCCGATTGGCCGAAACAAGTGAAAGTCTATGTCGGACAAGTTATTCTCTTGCCTAGTTGCCCGATCGGACAACTGAAAAGTTCTAGTTGTTTAATATTCTTAACATCCTCTGAGCCAGGGCGCTATCGCACCACATTCTCACTTCAATTTTCAAACGTTTTCAAAGGTCCCTGAAAAAAGCAGCCCACGACACCCACTGTTACCATTACAGATTTATTCAGAGCGGCAATGCGTACCTCCCTGGCCGGGGCGTCATTGATTTATGTACTGGGGTGGGGGTACGATTGTTTATAAGTCGGTTGAGGCATATTCATTACTGAATATGTAGGGGGTGGGCATCGCTGGGATGAGAGGACGACAGCAAAACTCTTTCCTGTGATTGAGGAAAAGCTGCAATCGGTAATGACACACAATGAGCGTGCCAGCATGCAAACATAAACGTGTGAATTCCATTACGATTTTACATGTACTGTATTTACTCGTGTATAAGTATAATTCAGGCTTCTCCCTACGTTGCGCAAACCGGGCGCGCCCGCCCAGTTTGGGAAAACTCCCCCCCCCCGTTTCAATCGTTGCGCCACGTTTAAATTATTTCCGCCCCAATTAAAAAAAAAATTTATTTTTAATTTTAATTTTAATGGGAATGGCTACATGAGGAACAGGCTGAGTGAGTCAGCTTTGAAGGCGCTGCTGCTACTGGCAATTGAGGGGCCACCTCGGCAAGAATTCCCATTCGACCCACTGGCAGTAAGAACAAGTCCGCACCTGCAGCTACAGCACACACGCATCTATTGACTATATAGTTGTTATAGTAGTTATAGCTGTTATAGTAGCTATAGTTGTTATAGTAGCTATAGTTGTTATAGTAGCTATGGTTGATATAGTAGTTATATATAACCAGGGCCCTCGCTACCCACTCGCCAATTCGCCAATGGCAAACAAATTAGTAATCTGGCGATTGAGTCTTATTAGGCGAAAAAAGTGACGAACGTAATTTTTCCGTAATAAACATGACCCAGCAAACATCGATCCTATTTGATCGTCGAAACAGCAACGTTTCTTTTTGCATGCCAGCACACTCGTGTGTCATTCCCGATTGCAGCTTTTTCCTTGATCCCGGGAAAGTTTTGCTGTCGCTCCATAATAACCAGCGCGGTGCCCACCCCTACATATACAGCAATAACCACACCCACACGACTGTAAAAATCATGCATTGCCCCCCCCGCCCGCCCGTACTTCAATCAAGCCGCCCAGCCAGCAAGCACGAGCGACGATGTGGCACAGCGCACGGAAGTGGGTAACAGGGGTGGTCGCGGGCATGCTTTTTTGGGCGTTTTTTTTCTTTTGGCGTGAATGCATGAGAATGCGTAGGGCAATGCGGGAGCGCGGAGAATGGAGTCCAGAATGCGTGAGTCTCTCCGCGGCGAAATGCGCAGCGTGAGGACTTAGTAGCGTGTGCTAACATGAGTAAGATTTTAAACTAAAGGTGAAATTTTTAAATTTTCGGGTGCATCAAAATGCCGTCTAAGACATTCAAATGATTTTAAATTTTGGGCTGGAGACCCCCGAACCCCCCCGGCCCTTCTACCTCTCTCCCGCTCCCGGCGTCTGCTCATGCAGAATCCACATTCGTGCCTACTGCAGCACCTTTTGAATCCATCATGTGCGTTTTTCCCTCGCCCAAACTGGCATCTACGACGGTTGTCATAATTTTCCCTCAGAAGAAACCCTGGTTTAAAAAGGCCTGTCTCACCACGCAGTCGGAACCGGCGCCTGGCAAAAATCAAATAATGTGTTACTTGACGGCCTGTGTCGTGATCGCTGCGTTGCTGTGCGGAGTGCGTGTAGTGTGTGTTTGTGTGTGGTACTGTGTGTGAGGGGTGACGTGGTGAGAAAAGTAGTGAAAGATCTGATAAGTACTACGTGGAATAGTATCAGCAGTTTATGAGCCCAGCTAGTTGTTTCTGTTCAATACATCGCCGAAGTTACAGAAGTGTAAGATATGATGCATTTGCTGTGAAAACTCTTCTGTAACTATGGTGGAGGTATTGACTATAGGGAATACGTAGTAGCTGTGTGTAAGGTAGGTGTTGTCGTATACTGTACTCGTGCGGGTCGTATTGGTGCGCTCAGTACTGTAAAAAGTAGCTGTTTGTGGAGCCCTACATCCACACAGTTGATTGGAGAGGGTTTAGGGGCAGACGAGTAAAGTTTGTTGAAAACACTCTGGAGAAATACTGGCTGAGAACAGAAAGTTGTTTGTTGACATTCTAGACGATCAAAGAGCGAAGACGCCAGAAGAGAAGAGATTGTTTGACGTGTGAAAGGTGCTATGTCCGCGTGGGTTGCAGAAAAGAGATAGGAGATTTTTCCTGCGCGAGGCAGTGGAGATGGACACGAAGAATTCGAACAATTTGAATGTCTCTGTCATCAGTCGAGTCCCGCATCGTCGATCGGGTGGTGGAGATTCGAGATAGTGTAGAGTGTCCTCAGTCGATATGACGAGGTGTAGTGAGAGTAGTTGTGTTTGCATTAAATGAAGTGGTAGTTTTGTGAAAAATAAAGAAAGAAAAGATGTATTTATCGGCCGCGGCCTTTTTGTTGTCGATAAAAAATGTTACTCAGATGAGTGGCTGCCGGAATCCAAATGTGGCTAGATGAAATTGATTCTGGCTAATTTTGCTACAGAAAGAAAAATCCTAGTAGCGCGCTGTATGAACTAATAGTAGTAGAGTGTTTGTTATATATATAGGTCAATAGAGTGCGTGTGTGTTTGTACTGCAGGTGCGGACGTTGGTTCTTCTGCCGAGTGATTCGACCAGGGCCCGGCGAGTCCCCAAACGGCGCCCTAGTTTCCCCCTCCTCCGGCCCTCCCGTTTCAATTTCATCACTGAAGAGGAACCCTGTAATCATGTATACTTAGTAAGTCTCAGCCGATATTTTTGTGCAGGTTGGTCAGCCATTGGTTACGAGGTGTAACAAGAGTTCTTAGGCCTCGATGCTAGTGAGTCACGACAACCGTGATTTTTGTTGGGTTGAAGTGTGGTGGTAGCAAGAGGAACGTGTTTAGTACACCAGTAAGTACGGGTATAGTGAGTGATAGCTGTAGTGTAATACGACACCCATCACGCGATGCAGACGTGGGGGGCGGCGCTGGGGGGGAGAGCGTGAGAGCGAGTGCTGAGAGTGATGTGCGGGAGCCTGAGTGAGGGGGTGCAGCGGGCAGGGGAGGGGAGAGCTGGCGGAGGGAGAGATGAGTGCGAGGAGCTGTGAGGTGAGGGTGATAGTGAGTGGTCGTAGGTGCGGTGAGTGGTAGTGATGGAGTGGGTGTGAGGTGGAGTAGTGTGAGGGCCGTGAGGTAGTGGCGTGAGTGTGGTAGGTGAGTGTGTGCCCAGAGATGAATTGTAGAAGCAGTGTGAGAGGGGAGAGGGACGAAGAGCGTAGGGGGTGCGGCGGCCGTGTGGTGCGAGGAGATCACTGCGCAGAGGAGACGAGAGTCGCGGCAGCCGGGTGCGGAGCTAGCAACAGACAGCGGCGGATCGGGTGAGTTGAGGCGTGAGTGTGAGGGGTAATCAACATGTAGATAGGAGAGGGGTTAGTGAGGTGGGGTAGAGCTGGAGCGTGAGAGAGGAGGAGCTTGAGGCTGGGAGCGTGATAAACAAGCTAGTGAGGTAGGGTGGGCGAATTGTGTTATGAGGGTATAGGTGTGACGAATATTGGATGGGTGCGGTGGTCGCTTTGTTGCTGTGAGTGCGTGCAGGTGCGGACTTGTTCTTGCTGCCAGTGGGTTGAATCCGAATTCATGCCGAAGTGGCCTCAATTGCAGTAGCAGCAGTGCCGCCAAAGCTGACACTCAGCCTGTTCCTCATGTAGCCATTCCCATTAAAAAAAAATAAAATAAAAAAATATTGTTTGTTTTTAATCGGGGCGGAATAATTTAAACGCGGCGCAACATTGAAACGCGGGGGGGGGGGAGTTTTCCAAAGCGGAGCGGGTGCGCCGGTTTGCGCACGTAGGGAGAAGCCTGCCTATTTATATAATATAGATCTCTATATTATACACTCCTGATAATATATGCACCGAACCAAAAGAGGACATTATGTTATTAATGGCTCATAGATTGCACAAGTAAATTTTGGACAAGTAAAAATCAAAATTCGCGACAAGTAAAAATTGCTTCTGTTGCCCGACAGGACAAACGCAGATCTGAAATAAGCGTCGAGGCCTGCCATGTTGTATATATATAGTCAATGGCCGCGTGTGTGCTGTAAGATAGATACAATAATGTAACCAAACCAGAGGATAGGGTACAAAGCCTCCCTATCCTTTTGTGCGGAGGAATGCCCGAGTGAATCACTCGGGCCGGTTTGCTGGTGCGTTTTCAAGAGACTAGAACTTCCAAACTGGGTTATTCTCAACACGAACCTTTCTCCGCTATCTGGGAAACTTACTATGTATCGCAATACTCTGTATTAAACTAATATAACCTGTTACAAAAATTCGAAGTGACGAGCGGCGCGAATTACTGAGCGCCATTTCTGTTGACCTGTGACGTACTTCGGTTTGAAGAGCGGATTCACCGACCAATCGGGGGCGCTGCGTTTGCCGATCGCTATGGCATTGGAATAGCGTACGTCACAGGTCAACAGAAATGGCGCTCAGTATATTCGCCGCTCGTCACTTCGAATTTTTGTAACAGTTATATAGTTTAATACAGAGTATTGCGATACATAGTAAGTTCCCAGATAGCGGAAAAAGGTTCGTGTGAGAATAAACCCAGTTTGGAAGTCTAGTCTCTGAAAACGCCACCAGCAAACCGGCCGCGAGTGATTCACTCGAGCATTCCTCCGCACAAAAGGATAGGGAGGCTTTGTAACCCTATCCTCTTGGGTTTGGGTTACATTATTGTATCTAGCTGTAGGAGTGTAGCTTCAGGTGTCGACTTGTTCTTGCTGCCAGTGGTAGCAATGGCAAACGATTACCTTGGTCCTATAAAGATTGTCAAACATAAACACAGCTGGAAATTAAGACATGCTGATTAGGCAATTGGGGCACGTAGTACGAGGATTGATGGGATGTCACAAATTGCACTAATAGTAATACTATGACCTAGTAGTAGTAGTACTACTACTAGTAGAAGTTCAAGTAGGATTCCGAAACTTTATAATCAGTAAATTTGACGCTAGTCTGACTCCGAGTGTCTCATCTGTCTGGGCTTGCCTACCTATATTCATATTTTTCATCTGTATACTTGTCCGAATAGTATATCTGTTTATGTGCCATAATACACTCCGCGAATTATTTGCACTACGCTACAGAATTACGACACGTCGTAATAATTATTTTGGCGTATTCTACAAAGAGGCGCACTTTACTTTAAACGTGTTTCGTTCAAAATGATGCTCGCAAATTAACTGCTCACGTGAGACATTGGATGTTTTCTATTGGTCGATACGATAATTCACCGATTGGTCGTCGGGGCTTGGCCATCGCGATCGTTGTCGCCTCAATTTTCGTTTCTTGATAATACTTAGGCCTATAATATACAAATAAATAATAGCATGATTATTTTACACATTATAATTTCTGCGTATACAAGACTCTGTATGAATTAGTTTATAAAATTTAAAAGCTTTAACCTGAGGGCTCGGTTTGTACATGTGGCGACCCCTGGTGGTATTACCCACCTGTTGTATTTGTGTGTTTACGAGTTCTGATTCTGTGCACTATTATTTGTATGATAACTAGAGTGAATGGTAATTTATATATATTAGTAGGTTTAATACGTTTAATATCAGTAGCGTCTATTATACATGTATATACTTGTATTTAAGACAGATTTCTGTGTATCATCAACTGATGCACAAACTTTGCGTATATCAATATATTGACAATAATCAAGGTGAATGTTACAATGACGTCAATGTATCACGACACAAGGCCAAGGGTAGATACAATATTCAATAATCATATTATTATTAGGCGCGTTCACACACAAGAAAAACCGCGCTGCTCAGCCCGCTAATAGCGGAGATAATAGTGAGCTAATTGTGTCGTTGTTCACACAGGCGAATATCTCGCTAATCGCCGTGGTGCAAATATCACGCCGCGGTGCAAATAAGCGCGCTGATTCCAAATTAGCGCAGTCGGAATGGTCTTTGGAGCGCGCTATTCAGAGCGCGCATTTAGTGAGCTAATTCCGTTCACACTTGTAAAAGCTCAGTTTTTTCGAGCGGCTGCAAAACACCGGGTTTTGCCAGCCCGCTAATTCGCGCCAGTGTGAACGCACCTAATGTAACCCAAACCCAGGATAGGGTTACAACGCGTCCCTATCCTTTTGTGTGGAGGAACCCCTGAGTGAATCACTGACTAGAACTTCCAAACTGGGTTTATTCTCAACACGAACCTTTCTCCGCTATCTTAATTGGAACTTACTATAATAATACTATGTATCACAATACTCTGCATTAAAGATACTCTCCACGTTGTGCATGAAATTTCATCGATTTTTCGTTTTCAACTTTATTCGATGGCCTAACACTATGTGCCACTGTGTACATGCTAATTTGCTCCATATAACGCGTACATGTGAACTGTCAGACGCTTTTTGCTTGCTCCTACATTGTGGGAAGCAGGCTTCGACGTCAGGTCGGAGACATGATCACAACCACGATATTAACTATAGCCAGTATCATCAGCGTCAACCCTGCCTCTACAGCTGCGCATTACATGTATTCATGTACATTCATGTACATCTGCTAGTGATCCAACAAGTATCCCACGCCAAAATAGTTCTAACACCTCGCAACACACCTTACTGTAGTGGTGTACAAGGCGCGCGCTTTGTTGACATATTTGCTTTGTGACGTCAGGATGAGCGGAGTTCGCGCGTTCTGCGATGGTAACCTCAGAATTTCTCAGAATTTCTCAAGGTGCATGGAACATTTGACCAATTTAGGTGCGTGTCAGTTAGTCATGGATATGTCGCAGTAAGTACTAACAATAGATATATCACATACGTTCACCCATTTTGCACACAGGCGGTCACTCATGTGGAAAATAGAAAAACCCTGATTTTTCCGTTTCGATTTCTGACATAGTAGCGATGGATAAATGGATATTTCTCTGTGATTACAACTCGGATTAATTAAATTTTACACTCGTTTTAATGGTAACATATTGTGGTAAAGAAGTGCGTCAGGGATTGTTATTAAGATGCCGTACTTATTAGTTATGTTCCTTTTATCGCTCAAATTTTTCTATTCTTCAACTTGATTTTTAAGCAGTTTTTTTCGAGTTTTTCGGTAAATATGAAAATTAAAGAAAAACCTGACGCGGTATTTTGGTCTATATTGTGCTTACATGTGGCAAAAATTTTTGTATCCTCGCGCTCTTTCTGGTAGTGAGAATATCCAAAATACCATTTTTACATAAAAATTCAAAATTTGTGTGGTAACATAATTAGGTGCTGGAAATTTCATGAAATTTTTGCTTGAGCATAGAGATATATCTCCTCTATAATAAAACAAGTGATTGATTCGACTGCATTTCGCCAATAAACTTTTTTTCACTAGAAGCCATACCCGTGCACAACTTGGAGAGTATCGCTTAAACTAATAAAACCTGTTACAAAAATTTGAAGTGACGAGCCGCGCAATTATACTGAGCGCGCATGTTATATAGTGACGTACGCATTCCCAATGCACATAGCGATCGCGCAAACGCAGCGCCCTCCGATGGTCGGTGAATCCGCTCTTCAAACCGAAGTACGTCACAGGTCAACAGAAATGGCGCTCAGTATATATCGCCGCTCGTCACTTCGAATTTTTGTAACAGCGTATATATAGTTTAATACAGAGTATTGTGATACATAGTAAGTTCCAAGATAGCGGAGAAAGGTTCGTGTGAGAATAAACCCAGTTTGGAAGTTCTAGTCTCTGAAAAGCCACCAGCAAACCGCCCTGAGTGATTCACTCAGGGGTTCCTCCACACAAAAGGATAGGCGACACGTTGTAACCCTATCCTGTGTTTGGGTTACATTATTGTATCTAGGCCAATGGGTGCAAATCCACTTAGTTTAGGCACCTTAGCCTTAGGTATCACCCTGGGTACGGTTCGATATATCGGAACGTACCCTGGTACTATCTAATATGCCGGACCGTACCTCGCCTACTTCACTAACGAGTCTAGGGAGTCGCCTATGGCTACTATCTAATCCTTACCCTAACCCTAACCATATCAGATACTGAGATAATTACCACTACCAGGGTACGTTCCGATATATCGAACTAGTGATGTCACGATCATCGATTATACTCGATCATCGGTTGAACAGTGGCTCGAACCAAGCGCTTGGTTATGAAAATCCATAATCGATTTAATCGGAAAAAAAAAAAAATTATTTTTTTAATTTGAACAAGAAAACTTGGAAAAGTTGATTGAGAATCAGTATAACATGTATTATACACCACAGTAGTAAACAGTGCAAAACAAACAGTAAACAGGGCTAAACAGCACATACATGCACACACGTACATGCGAACGACGTTACGCACACGCAGGCATTTCAACACCCGAGTAAACTGATTGTAATCGCCATCATCG